AACCAATAAAATGTATATTCCTCTAATTTCTTTTAACGTTGTCAATGCCATTTTCCCTTGCTTAGCTGTCTTCACTATATAAGAGAAACCATGGAATCTTCCAACCACATTCTTCATCTATTTTTTCTTCAAATAAGCCAACATTAATCTCAGTTTGTTACCTCTGAATGCTCATGCTGGTGAAACAAACTATAGATTTTACAATTCAAATTACTGTTTGGATTATATTTTGGAAACAGTTACACATAAAGGACAAAGACAAGAATTTTAAGAAACAACTAGCAAGAACAGACTTCTTTTATGCATTTCTTGATTCTAGCTATTGGGTCATACTCCTACCTTAAGAAAAATGACCTACAGCTCAGAATCTGCCAAACAAAGAGCAAACAATTGCTCAAAGAATGTTTTGTTTTAATCAGCAAATAGCTAAAAGAATGTTTACCTCCATAGTCCTTGTACTCAGGATCAACATAGGAATCAGGCAGCACAAAGAGGACACCAGGCAAACCTATAGCAGAAAACATTCGAAGTCAATTCTTTGATATAAACTGATGACTATCACAAAAAACAATTCAAATGAAAGTAAATCATTTTCAACAGACCTTCCATTTTATTTGCAGTCTCCTCGTCAACTTCACACCCAAAGCCAAAATACCTCTCACATGAGACATTGTAAATCTTCTTTTTTGCTTCCTCTTCGCTACACATTCAAATGAGAGGCTACATGAGTAGGTATAAAAAACTACTACTATTACAGATCAATCCTAAACTAGTCAGGGTAGGTTATATGAATCCTCAATAACAACTGTGCTTCACGCGGGCCTTTTTCATTCTAGTACTTAATACACTTGAATAGCTACATGAACAGAAAAGCACAAATGAGTTATCTAGACACATTTATACTCCTCCATCCAAAGAAAACTGAAAGTGTTACTATTTGAAAGTCAAAACGATTTTCTTTTTGGATCCGGTGGTGTCCGGCTAACTTGAGCGCACCTCGACATTTTCGCTGGGCACCTGCTGTCTCCCACCAACACATGTGCTGGGTAACTTTACCCACCAAGTCTTAGGCGGATAAGAAGAAAGCACCTAATGTTTTTTTGACTCAACTAAGATTGAACCTGAGATCTCATGATTCTCCTCCTACTGCAGTGACTATTAGGCCACGACCTTGGGTGCAAGTCAAACAACTTTTAAAAAATATATATATCTTAAGCATTTTCAAGTAAAACAGACTAAGGTATATCTACTTTTATATAGGCTGAATATGCAAGTTCTATTCGGAAAAAACTGGAAACTACATCAGCTAATCTTCATAATCAAAGCTCCGTCAGTTATTAAAGAGGGAGTATTTTCTTATCACCCTCGCAATTCCTTTCCAAAATTTTAAGAGTCAAAACAACTTTTTTAAAACATACTCCCTCTGTTCCAGTTTATGTGAACCTATTTCCTTTTTGGTTCATTCCAAAGAGAATGACTCCTTTCTAAATTTGGAAACAATTTAGCTTAAAGTTCCAATTCTACCCTTAATGAGAAGCTTTTATAACCACACAAATACTTTGGACCCCTTTTTGACTTGTTTAGGACCACAAATTCCAAAAGTCTTAATTTTTTCTTAAAATCCGTGCTCAGTCAAACAAGTTCACATAAATTGGAACAGAGAGAGTATATCTTTTAAACATATTCAAGTAAAAAATATTAAGTTACATCTACTTCTTTTTTTTTTTTGATAAGGGTTATATCTACTTTTATATAGAGTGAATATGTAAGTTTTATTTGAAACAACTGTAAACTAGATTAGTTAATCGTCACAATCAAAACACAGACATTTACTACACAGGGAGTATTTTCTTATTTCCCTGCAATTCCTTTTCAAAATTTTAAGATGTTTCTAACATTAATAGTATATATTTACATAGTTTCTACATATGTAAGCTTTATTTTTTTTAGAACAACTAATTACTCAGGCTGAAAAATAATGTCTGTAATCTCTCATGCCCTAAGCCGACCATTTTTTCAGGACGATAGGACTATGCTATTTTTGCCTTTTAAGGACTTTAGCTAGGGTGTTTTTATTACCTTCCGAGGACTTTAGCTAGGGTTTCAATGTAACAATACATCATTTGCTACATTTATAGTATATTTTACATAGTTTCTACACATAACTTTTTTTATAATTTAACAATTAACTTAAAAAATTAGATGTTTTCATTACCTTCCGAGGACTTTAGAGAGGGTTTGAATGTAACAATCAATCATTTGCTGTTTATTAGCGCCTTCTCCACCAGGTTTATCCATAACAATGAGCCAGTGCTCGTAATCGCAGCCCGGAAAGAGCGGGGCCATCTCGGTGGGAACCCGGTCGCCGGTCCCCGGAGTATAAGGCGAGTTACCGGCCCGGTTCACTCGGAACCTAACAGAACTGAGACTGAACGGTTTGAGGAAATTAGGGTTTTTGGGTAGAAGGGAGTGGGAGAGGAGAAATGACGGTTGAGGTGAAGATCCGACGGCTGGAAGAGGTGGAGGATGTGTAATTGACGACGAAGAAAAAGCGGAGGAGGAGAGGAAGCGAGAGTAGTGGCGAGAAGTGTAGAGAGTTCGAGTAATGGATTTGGTGATTTTAGAGGACGCCATTTTTGATGAATTTTTTGAGAGTTAGGGATTGTTGGAGTTGGAGGGTTTATATGATGGAGAGAAGTGAGGTGAAGACGAGGGTTTATGGGAAGGGATAGTCGGCTTTATTGTTGTTCCCTTTTTTCTTCTTCTTTTTGGGGTGGGGGCGGGGGGTGGGGGAACAGCACAGGTCTTGAACTTTCACCAACTTTATACTTTAAGGTCTGAAGTTTTGAACTGTCAAAATTAAACTTCCGAAAGTTTGAAATTTAACAACTTTAGATCCGACGTTTGAAGTTTGAAACTTTCATACCCGAGATTTAAAGTTTGATTATGAAATGACTAAACTTTAAATATTTTAAATTATGGTTATTCTTTAAATGTGGTCTTAAAACGACTATTTGTGGATTTGAGTGCTGAGATTGAAAAAATGTGTGCCCGCTATATGGTTATAACAAAAAGTAAAATAAAACCACTGAATAGTAACAATATTTTTTTCACTTCATGGAGTTAGGAAGAGACAACTATATAGGGATGACAATGAGGCGGTGCGGGTGCAGGACGGTACGGGTTTAGACATATGCGGGGCGGTACGGGTTTAGACATATGCGGGTGCGGAGCGGGGCGGGACGGGGCGGGTTAAACTAAAGAAAAATATTTTTTCGCGGGTACGGGTGTGAGTTTAAATACTAATTTTTCACACAACTGAAAAGGAGTAGAAAATGTTTAATTTTAACAAATCCAATCTCATACACTATAAATTAATGTTCTTCCATTATGACAAAAACAATGAGGTCACTTGACGAATAAGTATAATACAAATCTCTACGGTAACTATATGAAAATATAGACTAAAAACTTGAACAATAACAGAAAATGAGAAAATTACTCGCTATTTTTTATTGAAATAAATTAAGATGGTAAAATATTTATTCTGACTATGTGTGTGTACATGCTGATCCCGCGTTCATTGATCGCAAAAATAAAATAAGACAATTGAAAAGGAAAAAAAAGGTGCGGGGCGGGG